GGGCTTGATCCCAGGACCCTGGGATCATGACCTGAGCCGAAGGCAGATGCTTAACGACTGAGCCACCCCTTCTGTCAATTTTTGATTCACATATTTTGATCTTCTGTTATTAGGTGTACATATATTTGAGGTTTCTTTCTTAATTTTGCGCTACTGATATTTGGAGCTGGATGATACCTTGTGAGGCTATCCCATACATTGTAACATATTTAGCAACATCGCTGGCCTCTAAATACTATATGCTAGAAGCAACCCCACCACCACCAGTTGGGACAACCAAAAATGTCTCCAGATTTGCCCTTGGGGCAAAATTACCCCAGCTGAGAACCAGTAGGCTGGATTAAAAAATACTTGACACAAAAAATGGAAATAAGGTTGACAGGAAAAAGAAAACAAAAAACAGTTCCTTTTAATAAATTTTTATTTTGGGGGCACCTGGCTGGCTCATTCGGAAGAACATGAGACTCTTGATCATGAGTTCAAGCCCCATGTTGGGTGTAGAGATTAAATAAATAAACCTTTTCTTTTTTTTAAAGAAACTTTTAAAGTTTAAAAATTTCAAAAACTAAAAAACACCTCATATACCATATACCACTTTAGAAAGCTTGGATTATTATTCTGGAGACAATGGGGAGCTTTTATACAGAATGGGGACAGATTCAGATGACTTATTAATGATAATTACATTAAATGACCAGAATAGGGAACCTAGAGAGAAAAAAAGTAAGTTAGTGGTTGCCTGGGGGGATTTGGGAGAGCACAGCAATGCAGTGGCGGGGTGGGGGTTGGGGAGGAATGCGGTTAGCTAAAAGATATGGGGATTCTTTTTGAAATAATGAAAATGTCAGGGCGCCTCACTGGCCCAGTCGAAAAGAGCATGCAACTCTTGATCTCAGGGTCATGAGTTTGAACCCCACATTGGGTGTAGAGATTACTTAAATTTTTTTTAAAAATTAAAAAAAAAAAATGTCTAAATATCAGTCTAAAATAAACTGTGATAACAGTTGCACATATCTGTGAACATAGCAAAAACCACTGAACTGTACACTTAAATAAATGGATGAAGTATAAGGTATGTGAAATGTATCTCAATAAAGTGGTTTTTAAAAATTATTATTATTATTAAAGCTCACATGTACTGATTATTTACTTTGTGCCAGGCACTTTAGTAAGGTCCTCACATGCATTATCTAGATCTTACAACAATCTTATTTATAGCAATAATAATTAACCACTTTTTATAAACAGTGCTTACAATAGTCTAGGCATCTAATTCTCCCAGCAACCCATAAAGTGGTAATATTATCCCCATTTTACAGATAAGGAAACTGAAAAATAAAATAAGGGGTTAAGGTCACAAAGCTAGCAGCAGAACCGGAGTCCTTGCAACTATTTAGCAGCTGCCATATGTAATGTATCAAGAAACTGAGACTCAGGAGAGTTAAGTAACTTGTTCAAGGCCCCAAAAGGAATTAAGAGAATAGATTTGCTCTTCAGCCATACTTCAGTTCCAGTATCTTAAGCACTCTGCTCTTCCTGAACACAGACAGTGATCAAGGAGGTAAGGGATGCGTGATATTATCATTTATAAAGCATTTTTTTAAAGATTTATTTGCGAGAAAGAGAGCTTCGTGCACATGTGGGGGGAGGGGCGGAGGGGCAGAATCCTCAAGCAGACTCTCTGGTTGAGCAGAGTGGGACCAGGGCTTGATCTCACCACCCATGAGATCTCAACCTGAGCCAAAACCAAGAGTGGGACGCTTAACAGACTGAGCCACCCAGACTCCCCATGATTTATAATAGTACATTTTCTTAAAAACCCTTGGAATTAATTTCCTGTGAGGAGAGTGATAAAGGTGTCCTTTGTTATGTTGTTATGTTAAGGACGTGAATTTAAGGGTCTTTTTTTTGGTTTTTAAAAGTAAGTTCTAGGCCCAACATGGTGCTTGAACTCACTACCCAAGATCAAGAGTTGCATGCTCTATCAACTGAGCCAGCCAGGTGCCCCAAGGTAGTAAATTTTGGAAAGACCCAAGGATGGGGACTGGTTGTCAAGAGAACCAACCAAATGATTACAGTGTTGGAACTTTCAGTCCTACCCCCACCTCCATCTCACAGGCCAGGGGCTGGACACTGAGTTCCAACACTAATGGCTAAAGATTTCATCAACCATACCTATGTAATGAAGTCTCTATAAAAACCCAAAAGGACTTGATCAGGAGAGCTTCCAAGTCGGTGAAGACATGGATATGTGGAGAAAGTGTCACCTCTTGGGCGCCTGGGTGGCTCAGTCGTTAAGTGTCTGCCTTCGGCTCCGATCATGATCCTAGGGTCCTGGGATCAAGCCCCACATCGGGCTGCTCGGCGGGAAGCCTGCTACTCCCTTCTCTCACTCCCCCTGCTTGTGTTCCTGCTCTCGCTATCTCTCTCTGTCAAATAAATAAATAAAATCTTTAAAAAAAAAAAAGTGTCACCTCTGGAGAGGGCATGGAAGCTCTGCACTCCTTCCCACATTCCTTATCCTATGCATCTCTTCCATCTGGCAACTGCTGAATTATATCCTTTTTTTTTTTTTTAAAGATTTTATTTATTTATTTGACAGAGACAGCAAGAGCAGGAACACAAGCAGGGGGAGTGGGAGAGGGAGAAGCAGGCTTCCCGCTGAACAGGGAGCCTGATGTGGGACTCGATCCCAGAACCCTGGGATCATGACCCGAGCCGAAGGCAGCCGCTTAATGACTGAGCCACCCAGGCGCCCTGAATTATATCCTTTGATAATAAACCATTGATCTAGTAAGTAAAATGTTTCTCTGAGTTCTGTGAGCCACTCTAGCAATTTAATCAAATCCAAGGAGGGGGTTGTAGGAACTTCCAATTCACAGCCAGTTGGTCAGAAGTGCAGGTGACAACCTGGACTTTTTTTTTTTTTAATTTTATTGTTATGTTAATCACCATACATTACATCATTAGTTTTTGATGTAGCGTTCCATGATTCATTGTTTGCGTATAACACCCAGTGCTCCATGCAGAGCGTGCCCTCTTTAATACCCAACACCAGGCTAACCCATCCTCCTACCTGACAACCTGGACTTTTAATTGGCATCTGAATTGGGGTTGGGGGACAGTTTTGTAGGACTGAACCCCTAACATGTGGGATCTGATGCTATCTCCAGGTAGACAGTGTCAGAACTGAGTTAAATTTTAAGACACCTAGCTTGTGTTTGAGAATTGCTTGGAGATGTTGGAAAACACACACACTGGAATGGAGTCAGAACTATAGGATGGTGGTGGTAGTAGGGATGAAAAGGAAGGAATAGATTCAATATTGAATAAATAAAACATGGAAGACTTGGCCATATGTGAAGGAAAAGGAGTGAAAGGAATGAGGACACTCAGTTCTCTAAAGTGACTGGATAGAGAGAAGGTGGTGTCACCAGCTGAGATAAAGAACATAAAAACAAACACAATCCTAAAAAAATTCTTACTTCAGATCTCAACTGCAATGAGAATCATGTTTTCAAAAGTCTTTGCTCTCCAATAAAAATTGTTTTGTTTCCAGGGCGCCTGGGTGGCTCAGTCGTTAAGCGTCTGCCTTCGGCTCAGGTCATGATCCCGGGGTCCTGGGATCGAGTCCCGCATCGGGCTCCCTCCTCAGGGGGGAAGCCTACTTCTCCCTCTCCCCCTCCCGCTGCTTGTGTTCCTGCTCTCGCTATCTCTGTCTCTGTCAAATAAATAAAATCTTAAAAAAAAAAAAAATTGTTTTGTTTCCAAAAATAGGAGAAAAAGAGAATGGCGACACAATCAACTCTTCTGAGTGAAAGTCTTGAAATGATTATGGTTACTGAGAATGGTTCAAGGAACAAGCCTGAAAGATGTCTCAGATAGGACAGAATTTGACAATGTGAAGCAAAGAAAAGGGAGAAGCAAAGGTGTCCTAATCTCCTTAATTCAACTGAACTTTCGAGTAGCTTTCAAGTCCAATACTATTTCTATACAATCTCAGAATCCAAATGAGTTCTCACACTTATGTGTGTCAGATTCTCTAAAACTTTATCTATTAAAGACTACAAACCATTTCCCCACCCTACTCCCAAAACATAAACAATTTTACATCCAGTTACAGTGGCGTGGAAACATAAATCTCCTGTTGCTGGTCCATGATCCCCAGATTCAGAATTTGTGCTTTGAATTCTAAAGCCCACTTACAAAAAATACCTCCAGCAACAATACATAATCCAGGAGCCTGTCACCAGAAGCTCAGCTCATACAAACTGATTATCTCTTTTCTTAGTCCAACCCATCAAAACTCAGTTTTCTTTCTACAGCTCACCATTTGTTTAGTGATTCCCTTCACTGGGTCTCAGAAGCCAGAAACCCCAAGATCTTTGACTCCTCCCTCCCCTTTAGATTTTCAGTTTGCTGTCACCAAACAGAAATGCCTCTCATGTTAGTTCTCAGCTGCTCCAGACCCAAAATACTCTCGTTGCTTCCTAAGCAATGGGATATATACACAACGCATTTATGACTGAATAAATAAGTTAGAGATACTGGAGTTAGAAGAAAAAAACCCCCATTTTCTACTCTCAAGAAGCTCAAAGATATTGGGGGTGAGGAAGCATAAAATAGAATATTAAAATGCAACGTGAAAAAAATGCATGATAAAGGTCCTCAACTCAGACAGTAGGGAGTCGAGGGAAGGCTCTTAAAAGGTCAAAAACCCATGTCCTAGAAGACTCTAATTCACCTAATAATGCCTATGGTTAATGTCACACAGTTAGCACTAGCTGTCTTGCTTTGCCCTTCAGTTGTTTTGTGTTTATGAACTCTCTCCAAAAATAGATGCTAAATTCCCTGGGGGCAGAGATCGTAACGAATTTGTCTCCTCACAGAACCACACCGTGCCTCACGCAAAGCAAGAACGCAATCAATACGTGTCAGCTGGCCAAAACTATGGGATGGGGCAGAAAAGAAAAACAGTCACCCAGACTAACAGGGGTGGCTTAGACTTGGCACACTAGAGTAATACACATGTCAAAATGGCAAAGATAAAACCTCAATTACAGAAAAACAAACCACATTTCTTTCGGAAGGCCACGTCTGCCACAGAGTGCTGCAGGGTGGTCGGCTGGTGGAGAGGACGGAAGGGTCTCTCAGATAAACACAAAAGGCTTCTTCCAATTTCCTCAAATACGCGTGGACGTCTCTGCCCCCGGCCAGCCCTGGGGAGGGGTCCAGGGTGACAGAACGCCGCTACTCTCTTCCCTTAAAAGTTGCGCGTCTCGCTCAGGGCTGCAGGGCACGCGCGAGGGGGGCGGCCGGGGTTTGCCCGGCAATTTCCCTCTCCCTCCTTCTTTTACCTGTTTGGCCAAGAACCTGCCCAGTTCGCTGCGGCTCTTCTCGTTCTTGGCAGCGAGTAAGCATAGCGGCGCGGCCGCCACCTCCAGGAAAAGGTGCTCCATGACGGCAGGCCCTCTGCCCCGGCGGCCACCAGCGCTCCCTACTTAGCGCTCGGAGCCCCCGAGCCGCTGAGGTCCCGCACCGGAGGTGCCAGCAACTACGCCCCCAGGGAAAGCACCCCGGCTGCCCCGCAGACACCGGGAGAACTGCAGCACACGTGGGGGAGCACGCGGCGCAGTCCGTCATCAGCCCGCGACCACGACGGCGACGGCGGGGCGGCAGCAGCCCCGCCCCCTCAGCAGCGGAAACAGCGGGAGTTACCACCGCGCCAGTTCCGGGAGCGCAGTAGAAGCGGACCGCTGTTGTAATCCGGGTCTCCTGGGTACAGTGCTGGTAGGTTTCGGAGGCAAGGTGTGGCGGTACAGCGAGACGGGAGATACCGCTAGGCCGGAGAAGCGAGGGAGCTCTCAGCCCACCATGCCTCCCTCCTGTGGAAGTATGACAAGCACGCCCCTTGCGGTATTCATAATATAAATATTGGAAATAAGTGCTCAGTTAGGGAATATTTAAAGTGTGGTGTATACGTTATATAATATTAAGAAGCCGTTAAAAAGAGTGGACTAGAACTTCACATATATGTGTAGTTCAAGAACAAGCCAAAATAATGACAAAGTCAGGCTAATGGTTGCTTTAGGGAGTATTGACAGCCAGGGGACCTGAGGGAACATCCTATGGTGATGGAAATTTTTCATTATCTTCCTCTCGGTGGTGTTACGCTGGTAGGTAAATTTTTAAAAGCAAAGAACAACTGTACACAAGATTTGTGCACCTTGTGTAAATTATGCCTCTAAAAAGTGTTTTAAAAAGGGGTAGATCTCTAATAACAAGTTATACTGTGATTCAGTCTTTTAAAATAAATGTATTTGAATTTGAAATTTTTTCCCTAGGGTTTGAATGTTTGCTTTTGGGGAAACTCAAACTCAAGCGCAGAACTTCCAGAACTGGGGAACTATAAAAATGGGGCAAAAAAGATTTCCAAATAAATAATATTTCTAAAATTTGCAAGAAAATTGAGAGGGTTCCCTGAGGACATAGTACAATGAATGAAAAATTACCCAAGTTTGAGGAATTACTCATTTTCCTCTGGGTATCTCCCATCTATATGTGAAGTGTACACATTAATACACGTATGTATGTTTCTTTCTCGTTAATCAGTCTTTGACAGGGTCTTACCCAAGAACTTAGAAGGGTAAAGGGAAAATTATTTTTCCTCCTCTACACACCCTTTCTCAAATAACCATAAGGCAACATTTTTGGGTGGTAGAAATGTTTCAAGACTATATTGTGGTGATGGTGGCACAACTCTATAAATTGAATAAAGTCATTGAATCTCACACAGTGGTGTGCGAATTTTATGGTATGTAAGTTATACCTCAAAAAAGCTCTAAAAATAATAACAATAATCGGGAAGGAATAGGGTATGTGTAAGTACAGATGAAGCAAGATTGGCAGTATATTGATAATTATTGAAACTGGATGTCAGGTAAACAGAGTTCATTATACTCTTCTTTCTACTTGTGTGTATGTTTGAAAATTTCGATAATAAAAAGTAAAATAATATGTATTTTTTAAAAGACTACTAGGGTCATATCTAAAGGACTCAGGTACTAAAGAGCAGGAGAATATGCCACTTAGGCATGAAAGAGTTTGGGACATGCCACCCCAAATTATGCCACTTTGGTATATTGATTATTTTGAGCTAAAGATGCTTTAGAAACAGGGCTCTCTGACCACCCCTCCCTTTTCTACCTAAAGCAGGCCATAAAATTTCCCATGAGAAAAGTACCCTCTACCTTTTACCAGGAATAAAAGAACACACTTATCACCAGAGACTGGTAATTGACACTGAGTGGGTCTGTACAAACAAACTTACTAAAATAACCCTTATCTTCCACTAGTTTTCCCTCCATATATCTTCTAGTCACTTTCCTACAATTTACTGCTCCTAGCCCAAACCCCTTTTGTCTTGTCATTTCTTTACAAATTTATTTCTTATTTTTCTAGAAGGTATGTAAGCTTTCTTAAGCTGAAGGCAATTGAGGAGAAACAGATACAAAAGCTCTCTGCCCTCCTCTTATTTGCCTAAAAGCAGGATATAAGTTTCTAAAAGTGTCCTCCTTTGCCCTCTCCATCAAGAAGGACAGAAGTTAATCACTGGAGACAACTGTAGACCTTTATTAGCACAGAGACAGCATCAGAGGAAACTACATAACAAACCTTGCTGAAATTAGCTGTTATCTACCATTAGGTTCTCCATATATTTGCCTTCTTACAATTTGCCACCCCCAAAAGCTCAAAGTTCTTTTCCTTTGTCTTGTCACTTCTCTAAAAATTTATTGTTCTTTTTTTTAAGATGCTATATAAGCCTAGTTTTTAACTACCTCTTTGAGTTACTGGTCTCTGAGTACTCCCATGTGTATGCACGATGCACATGTTAATAAATTTGTTTGTTTTTCTCTTGTTAATCTGTCTTTTGTTAATGTATTTTATTGGGTGCAAGCCAGAGAACCCAAAATGGGTAGAGGAAAAAAAATTTCTTTTCCTCCCTTACAGTACCAATTTAAAGAGGCTCCTACTGACGAATGATGGTACAATTTGAGCTTCAATAAAGCTAACAATTGCAATGAATTAACACATATTATATACGTTTAAATCCATGAATATGTAATTTTTCATTTTTTTGAAAGATTTTATTTATTTATTTGTCAGAGAGAGAAAGAGAGCACAAGCAGGGAGAGCAGCAGGCAGAGGTAGAAGCAGGCTCCCTGCTGGGCAAGGAGCCCAACGTGGGAATAGATCCTAGGATCCTGGGATCATGACCTGAGCTGAAGGCAAATGCCTAACTGACTGAGCCACCCAGGAGTCCCTGTAATAATATTTTAAAAAATTGGTTACCTTTGGAGTAAGAAATCAGTCTTGAAAGTTGGTAAATAAAGAGAAGATACTAAAAATTTATCCTGCCTTAAAAAAAAAAAAAAAAATTTATCCTGCCTTCATATATGAATTTTACTACTAGGTACCCAAATAGAAGATAATGAGAAGTGTGTCTTCATAAAAATAATACAGCTACATTAAAAAGAACTGACAGTGGGGGCACCTGGGTGACTCAGTTGGTTAAGCGACTGCCTTCAGCTCAGGTCATGATCCCAGGGTCCTGGGATCAAGTGCTGCATCGGGCTCCCTGCTCCGCGGGAAGCCTGCTTCTCCCTCTCCCACTTCCCCTGCTTGTGTTCCCTCTCACGCTGTCTCTCTCTCTCTCTGTCAATTAAATAAATAAATAAAATCTTTAAAAAAAAAAAAAGAACTGACAGAATTAGGGCACCTGGCTGGCTCAGTTGGTAGAGCATGCAACCCTTGATCTCAGGATTGTAGGTATGAGGCCCATGTTGGGTGTAGAGATTATGTAAAAAAAAAAATTTTTTAAAAAGGAATTGGCAGAGGAAAATATCAACATTTTCCAACCCCCCAGTTAATCAAGTAACCAAGGCATTAAGTATCAGTGGCTGTTAACATCACAAAAGGACCAAAAAAAACAGACTTTAGGTTAGCTGCTGATAAAAGAACATAATACCACCTAAACTATAGTCTTGTCAAAAGTATCTGGATCTAGCTGCCAATGTGCAGAAAATAGAGAACAGAGGAATATGTTAAACTGCAACATGAATATATAATGAACAAAATCCAGACTGTTAGGAGATTCTATAGATCAAAACAAGTTTTTCAAGAGATAAATTTAAAGGAAAGGTATTGGAGGAGGGGTGCCTGCATGTCTCAGTAGGTTAAGCATCCAACTCTTGATTTTGGTTCAGGTCATGATCTCACGGTCAAGAGATGGAGCCCCACATTGGGCTCTGTGCTGGGCGTGAAGCCTGCTTTTAAGATTCTCTCTCCCTCTCCCTTGGCCCCTCCCCACCTCTAAAAAAAAAAGGTATGGGAGGGGAAACTGTAGATTATAAGAGACTGCTTTGGACTGAATGTTTGTGTCCTCCAAAATTCCTATGTTGAAGCTCCAAACCCCAATGTAATGGTATTTGGAGGCGAGGCCTTTGGGAGGTGATTAGGTTTAGATAAAATCATAAGGGTAGAGCCCCAATAATGGGATTAGCACCCTTTCAAGAACAAAACAGAGCCTCCTCTCTCTTTCTGCCAAGTGAGCATCCAGTAAGAAAGCTACTGCCTACAAACCAGGCAGAAAGCTTTCACCAGACACTGAATCTGCTGGCACCTTGATCTTAGACCTCCCAGTCTCCAGAACTGTGAAAAATAAAATTTTGTTGTTTAAGCCACCAGTCTGTAGTGCTACAGCAGCCTAACTAAGACTGAGACTTATGAGACTTTAGCAAATTTTTATAACACAGGCAAAACTAAATCATTGTGCCTGGAAGTGCACACTTGGTTAATCAAACCATAACAAAATGCAAGGAAGTTTTTACTGTGAAAGTCAGGATAGCAGTTTTTGGGAGGAATGGGGCTGTGATTGGGGTAGCGGTTATAGAAAAGCTTCTAAGTTTGATTTGTGACCTGGGTGGCAATTACAATGATATTTACCTAATAATACTTCATTAATGGATGTTTTTATTGTTCTACAATATAAAAGTTTTTTTAAAAAAATGAATACAGAAAATATAAACAAAAACTAAAAAATTGATTCAGACTTCAGTACATGTCAGGGTAAGAGTTCTCATTTCTCCCAGGCACTCTGTCAAAGAACTATTTGTGCCTCGGGTGCTTGGCTGGCTCAGTTAGTGGAGCATGCCACTCTTGATCTCAGGGTTGTTAAGTTCGAGCTCCATGTCCAGTGTAGAGATTACTTAAAAATAAAATCTTAAAAAATTTTTTTACTTGTGCCTCATTAAGATATCAGAAGTGTTATGTGAAGTTGAGAGAGCACTGAAACAGCATGTAAGGACCTGAGCTATTAGTTGTACTTTTCCATTAACTAGCTATGTGACCTAGGTTAAGTGATTTAACCTTCCTAGACCTCGGTTTTTCTCTAGAAGTTCTGATTCAGAGTCAATAAGTACTCTTGGAACACAGGAAGTGCCTTATTCATCTTTGTATCTCACACAGCACTAACATACTTTTCTCATACACAACAGGCATTTAACAAATGTTCAGTCCTTCCAGGTATTTAGATGTCTGAGAAACCCAGGAGCAATTTACTTA